GACACGTTTATTGTGTCTCATTTATGGGAAGCTGTTATGAAACAAAATCACAGTTATTATGAGCTGAAAAATACAATTCAAGTCCACTGCATATGAAAATAAACAAACACAAAGGCAGGCTCGAGTACTTTCAATATTTTTATGCCACTTTCTGACACAGGCTGGCAGTTGATAATAACACCCCATGTCGCCAATTTATTGGTTTATAGAGGAAACACTCGGCACCCTGAGAGTGGCTATGGGGAAGTAATACAGGAAAGAGAAAGCAAAACAAATGTGTAGAAAGTCACAGTCCAAAGATGCTGTTTATGTGCTGAGTGAAGTAGTAATAATAATAATACAGAAGCAGGAGTTCAGTGATGTAAACAATAAAAGGTTTGCAGGTCCCTATAGGAATATGATTCTGGCATTGTTCTCATGCTGTGGCCAGGAAATGATGGTTTTCAGGGCTATAGTCTTGTTACGTGTGGATTAATGTGTTCTGCGTTTTCTACAGTTGTCTAATATTTTGTTCTGCTATATTTGGGATTTCATAACATTCTTCCTATTTAAATTATTCGTAAGTCTCACTTCCGAGCATAAGTGGGTTATGAGACAGTGGCCCCACCACCTCTACTACACAAGAGCAAGACACCCAGACTGTGTGATGGGTTTATGTCGTTTTTTTTTTGTTTTGTTTGTATCTCTTTGTACTCATAAATCTCTTTTTGGTTACTTTCTGTCTCTGAGGCGATTGTGTGTCTCTTTATTGTTGTTTTGCCCCTTTTGTTGTTATTTGTGTCTCTTTGTAGTTAATTTGTGTCACTTTTGTAGTTAGTTTGTGTCTCTGTGTTTTTTTTACCCTTTTGTAGTCATTTTGTGTCTCTTTGTTGTGTTTCTTTGTAGTCATTGTGTTTCTTTGTAGTCATTTTGTGTCTCTTTGTAGTTAGTTTGTGTCTCTTCGTGGTTTTTTTATCCCTTTAGTAGTCAGTTTGTGTCTCTTTGTTGTGTTTCTTTGTAGTCATTGTGTTTCTTTGTAGTCATTTTGTGTCTCTTTGTAGTCATTGCGTCTCTTTGTAGTCATTGTGTTTCTTTGTAGTCGTTTTGTGTCTCTTAGTAGTCATTGTGTTTCTTTGTAGTCATTTTGTATCTCTTTATTGTTGTTTTGTCCCTTTTGTATTCGTTTTTATGTCTCTTTGAAGTAATTTAGCATCTTTCTTCAGACATTGTGTGTGTCTTTGTGGTTGTTTTGCTGCTTTTTGTAGTTATTATGTGTCAGATGTGTTGGTATGTCTTAATTCGAGTGACATTTTGCAGAAGGAGGAGGACCAATAGGCCCTTTCAGTGGGGCCAAGGCATAATGTTATATGTTATTATTTTAAGTGTTTTATTTCAATTATCAGCAATCTACAACAATGTTTTTCTTCTGGCAGGTAACTAGAGCTGATCTTAATAGAATTGCTGACTGAAAAGATGAGGGACAACATTTTTGTAGGACTAGGACATGTCAAGTCCTCACTCAGCACAGTTGTGATTAAGCCACACCCCCACAACACTGCAGAATGTATATGTCCATCTTTACATTAACATCAGCATGTTTATAGTGTATTCTGGACACATCAATAGGAGAAAACACTAGCTTCACCAATGCACAATTGAGCTGCACCCAGCCGAGATAATGATAATGGGTAGTCTCATTTTAATGAACAAGACATCTCTTCTTATATTAATTTTATTGCTGAAGTATGACACTATAATATCCGCTATCCACACGAATAACCAGTTAGCAAATGGGCCTGAATTACATGTAACACAAACAAGTTTCTCAAACAAATTTCCCTACTTGACAAACAGGTTGTCAAGGAGCAACAGTTCCTAAGTAGGAGTCTTTGGGTGGTAAAAAGTAAAGGCTACCACCTAGTGGCCATGTGAATAGTAGAAAAAGGGTCAGTCTCAACTTTGAAATATACTGAGAACTGCATTAAACATTTTCATGCCACAAGATGGTTCAGAACTTCAGTTTACTCATGTGTGTTGTCAAGAAACAATTTGCAATCCACTTACTGATTAATGTCTTTAATGCAAAACGATGAAAAGTAAATCCAGTATGGTCTTGTACAATATAAATCTCTTAAAAGAAAAGTATAATTAGGCCATCTCACCACAACCAATATTAATAATAATGACGCCAATTTAAAGGGGAAAATAAAATAAACAGTAAAAACAGTGAAGTCAAGTAAAGTCCAAGTACAGAAAAATGAAAAAATACATAAATATGAATGGACCTACCTTGATGTCGTATATCTTTATATCAAAAATCCTTTTAGTTTAGGTATTTGGAAAAAAAGTATTTCTAGCCATTAGTTTCAACACTGATATCTGAACATCACCCTGTTTGCTCTTCCAATTACACCTTACAAAACCTACAATTTCACAGTTTTCAAAGTGACAAAAACACACAGGGTGCAGAGGTTCATTTTTGGATAATCAGGCTTGAAAATCCTGTTATCTGTGCTCCTAGAGGCTGGAAATCATTCACTTGGAAGAATGCAGATTTGGTGGATTCATTCACCAAAGGGACTTCACTGTCATGCGCATTTTGATAGAATCACCTATCTTTGGCATTTCCTCCCCATGTTACGTTTTGCCCCAACATCCTAATTTACCCTTAAACATGTTTCCTCATGACTTCAGTAAATTGTGGGTACAAACCAGATCCTACACAGTGCTGTTGTGATATACCACACTCTATCACACAGGCAAAATGAAGATATGAGTTACCTTTCGATACTGTAAGAGCAGGCGACCACTGTGACCTCAAGATGTCAAGGCAGATGCTACCATTGCTGTTGATGTTTGGGTGATAGATTTTCGTTGTAAAGGAAATCTATGAAAACAACAATAAAGCAGTAATAGATAAAATAACCCTCTTGTGACAAGGGCTGCATCCAATGATTCATTATTGATTAATCATTGGTTTTATAATATACTTTAGAAAATAGTGAAAAATACCTGTTTAAAGAAGGTGGTGTACATCTGAGCTACTCAGTCAACTTACCTTTGGTGGTTTAAAGGGATAGTCCATTGGAAAATGGACAGAAAGGAAAAAATACTAGTATCGATTTTGTGTCTCTTTGTGGTTGTTTTGTGTCTCTTTGTTGTTTTTTGCCCCTCAAGTGGATATTTTGTGTCTTTATTGTTGTTCTGCCCCTTTTAAAGTCATTTTGTGTCTGTGATTGTTTTGTGTCTCTTTGTTATTTTTTTCCTTCTTTGTAGTTATTTTGTGTCTCTGTTGTTTTTTCCTTTTTTGTAGTTATTTTGTGTCTCTGTTGCTTTTTCCCTTTTTTGTAGTTATTTTGTGTCTCTTTGTAGTCTCTTTGTAGTCATTTTGTGTCTGTCGTTTTTTCCTTCTTTGTAGTTTTGTGTCTATCGTTTTTCCTTCTTTGTGGTTATTTTGTGTCTCTTTGTAGTCATTTTGTGTCTCTGTCGTTTTTTCCTTCTTTGTAGTCATTTTGTGTCTCCTTGTAGTCATTTTGTGTCTGTTGTTTTTTCCTTCTTTGTAGTTATTTTGTGTCTCTGTAGTCATTTTGTGTCTCTGTAGTTATTTTGTGTCTGTCATTTTTTCCTTCTTTGTAGTTATTTTGTCTCTTTGTAGTTATTTTGTGTGTCGTTTTTTTCCTTCTTTGTAGTTATTTTGTCTCTTTGTAGTTATTTTGTGTGTCGTTTTTTCCTTCTTTGTAGTCATTTTGTCTCTTTGTGTTGTTTTGCCCTTTTGGGTTGTGTCTCTTTGTAGTCATTTTATGTCTCTTTGTTGTTTTTTCCTTCTTTGTAGTTATTTTGTCTCTTTGTAGTTATTTTGTGTGTCGTTTTTTCCTTCTTTGTAGTCATTTTGTCTCTTTGTGTTGTTTTGCCCTTTTGGGTTGTGTCTCTTTGTAGTCATTTTATGTCTCTTTGTTGTTTTTTCCTTCTTTGTAGTCATCTTGAGTCTCTTTGTAGTTATTTTGTGTCTCCTTCTTGTTGTTTTGACACTATTGTAGTCATTTTGTGTCTCTGTTTTTCCTTCTTTGTAGTCATCTTGTGTCTCTTTGTAGTTATTTTGTCTCCTTCTTGTTGTTTTGACACTATTGTAGTCATTTTGTGTCTCTGTAGTCATCTTTTGTCTCTTTGTAGTTATTTTGTGTCTCCTTCTTGTTGTTTTGACACTATTGTAGTCATTTTGTGTCTCTTTCTTGTTGTTTTGACACTATTGCAGTCATTTTGTGTCTCTTTGTGGTTGTTTCATTTCGTTTGTAGCTGAACTTTCAAATAAATCTGCCAAGGTTAAGGCATACATGTTATTATTTTAAGTGTTTTATTTCAATTATCAGCAATCTACAACAATGTTTTTCTTCTGGCAGGTAACTAGAGCTGATCTTAATAGAATTGCTGACTGAAAAGATGAGGGACAACATTTTTGTAGGACTAGGACATGTCAAGTCCTCACTCAGCACAGTTGTGATTAAGCCACACCCCCACAACACTGCAGAATGTATATGTCCATCTTTACATTAACATCAGCATGTTTATAGTGTATTCTGGACACATCAATAGGAGAAAACACTAGCTTCACCAATGCACAATTGAGCTGCACCCAGCCGAGATAATGATAATGGGTAGTCTCATTTTAATGAACAAGACATCTCTTCTTATATTAATTTTATTGCTGAAGTATGACACTATAATATCCGCTTTCCATACGAATAACCAGTTAGCAAATGGGCCTGAATTACATGTAACACAAACAAGTTTCTCAAACAAATTTCCCTACTTGACAAACAGGTTGTCAAGGAGCAACAGTTCCTAAGTAAGAGTCTTTGGGTGGTAAAAAGTAAAGGCTACCACCTAGTGGCCATGTGAATAGTAGAAAAAGGGTCAGTCTCAACTTTGAAATATACTGAGAACTGCATTAAACATTTTCATGCCACAAGATGGTTCAGAACTTCAGTTTACTCATGTGTGTTGTCAAGAAACAATTTGCAATCCACTTACTGATTAATGTCTTTAATGCAAAACGATGAAAAATAAATCCAGTATGGTCTTGTACAATATAAATCTCTTAAAAGAAAAGTATCATCAGGCCATCTCACCACAACCAATATTAATAATAATGACGCCAATTTAAAGGGGAAAATAAAATAAACAGTAAAAACAGTGAAGTCAAGTAAAGTCCAAGTAGAGAAAGTGCCTCAAGCGAGTAAAACACCTCAACAAGAACCAGTGTGGATGAGCAGTTGAAACAGTACTGTCATAATTTGAGGTGTTCAGGGATGCGTCATTGTTGCAGAAAGTCCAGCCCCTCACATTGCATACTTCTGAGTCCAGTCTTTGGCTGCTTTGTTGTACCTACAGAAAAATGAAAAAACACAGGATGAGTTTCTAGAGAACAGTTGACAGATTCAAGTATTTCCACATTCCAATTTCTGTAGCTTTCATGCTCACTTTTGTTTGTCTGTTTTGTAGATGTGTGCAATGTCAGGGACTAGTGGATCATCTGGATTTGGGTCACATAGCAAGGAGCAAATGGATAATAAAACTGTAAGAAAAAGACCAAAAATTAGTATGCGCACGTTTCAATTTTTAAAAAAGCCTCGATTTCATGCATCTTTATATCAAACAATCCTGTTAGTTTTCAAAGTGACTGTTACATGCCAGGCAGGGGCAGAGTGCAGTTGTGTTTGTGGGTGTTTTTCCCCCCCTGGTCTTCTCTCTCTCTCCCCCCTCCTCTCTGCTCTCCAGGTGCCATCAACCTGACTGGCCTGCATCTGTAGAGTGTGGGTGCTTCCAGACTGGCCAATCACATCCAGGGATCTCTTATGAAAGGACCATGCCTGCAGTGATCGCTCTCTTCTCCTCTCTGCCTGCTAGAGCTGCTGTTCGTGGTGTTGGGTGCGGCATGCGATTTAGTTAACTTGGTTTCTTAAAACAAGGTTTGTGGAGCGAGGTTGTGGACTTAGGTAAGTCGGGGTACCCTATAAATTTTTCACTCACGTAGGTCTCCATTGTCCACAAGTTTTTAGGGTTGGTGCCACCCCTGTATCTATTTTTGGTTAAGATTCTTTTTTTTAGATAAGAGAGTCAGTTTTTTGTTTGTGTTTTGTTTTCAAGTTCAGACTCAGATTAGGCCCACTTTTACTGTATTTCTTTCAGTTTATTTGGCACAACCACCTCAACCCACCCTCCTCCGCAATTGTGATCTTTTGTTAGATTTCTGTTGCTCAATAAACCATTTTCTTTGTTTATACACATGCTCTGACTCCATGTTATTTTTGACTGTTGTGTTGATGTCTCCTTTCCAACTTGCCATCAAAGGAGTCGTAACAGTCACAAAAACACACAGGGTGCAGAGGTTCATTTTTGGATAATCAGGCTTGAAAATCCTGTTATCTGTGCTCCTAGAGGCTGGAAATCATTCACTTGGAAGAATGCAGATTTGGTGGATTCATTCACCAAAGGGACTTCACTGTCATGCGCATTTTGATAGAATTCAACTCACCTATCTTTGGCATTTCCTCCCCAACATCCAAATTTACCCTTAAACATGTTTCCTCATGACTTCAGTAAATTGTGGGTACAAACCAGATCCTACACAGTGCTGTTGTGATATACTACGCTCTATCACACAGGCAAAATGAAGATATGAGTTACCTTTCGATACTGTAAGAGCAGGCGACCACTGTGACCTCAAGATGTCAAGGCAGATGCTACCATTGCTGTTGATGTTTGGGTGATAGATTTTCGTTGTAAAGGAAATCTATGAAAACAACAATAAAGCAGTAATAGATAAAATAACCCTCTTGTGACAAGGGCTGCATCCAATGATTCATTATTGATTAATCATTGGTTTTATAATATACTTTAGAAAATAGTGAAAAATACTTGTTTAAGAAGTTGGTGTACATCTGAGCTACTCAGTAAACTTACCTTTGGTGGTTTAAAGGGATAGTCCATTGGAAAATGGACAGAAAGGAAAAATACTCCTCCGTGATATGGGCTGTCGGGCTGGAATAGAGAGGAAAAGTATTGTTAAATTATGCCTAGTACTGCATATAATAGAATACTATTTGCATTAGGAGAGCAACCATTCATTTAGATTATAATCTGCCTTTCATTTGTTTAAGATTCACTTTGTTTAAATTATGGTATTGTGGTATTTCCCCTTTTCCTATTGTCTAAGTAACACCATGGGCTTTAGTGTGTGACACTGGGATAGAGTGTGCCAGTCTGTGCTTTCCATACAGAATAGAAAGAGCTGTAAAGTCAACATAAAACACTATTGTATGGAGATCCAGAAGAAGCTTGGTTTTAAAAATATCCAGGAAACTAATCCAGAAAAGGCTCACCGGTCCCATGATGGAAGCTTGCCAGTGAAACACTAAAAGAAACAAAGACGAAGACAACATTTGTGAGAACATTATGTGGTATCATGGCTTCATATCAGCACAGAACAATAGTGATGACAAGAATGAAAGTAGCCATATTACAGGATTAATAATTAAGACAATGATAAGTTTATACACAAGGGAGCAGATACTGTGACACTTACAGTCATCCCCTACAGGTCCGGCTGAACACTGAGCTGGAGGGTCCTTCCCTAAGTCTTGTAACTCCTGAGCAAACAAACAAGACAAACGACATTTTATGAGTTTGGCAGCTTCCGCCTTACTGTAAAAAATGCTTAAAAGGAGGAAAACTTGAGTTTACAGTCTGTTAAACTGTACACTAACGTTACTGAACTACCAGCTAGAACTTCGCTAAATTAAATAATATTGAAAAGTAAGTTAGCCAGAGACACCGACGTACAGGGCGTTAACACTGTTAGTATGCTAGGCCAACTTTAGCTGGAAGTTAGCTCAGATAAGTTTATCTGCTTAGCTAACTGGCTTCTGTGTCATCGCCGGTGACATAAATATCGGACTTTCTGGCAGTAAAAGCCGCCTTGCGAATTAACTGACGGTACATAACGTTAAATCAATCACAAACACCGTTGGAACAACAATCAACCACGTCAGGCTAGCAAACAGATGCTATCAAGCTAGATGGTTGGCTGGCTAACGTTAAAACGTTTCCGCATCGCCCCAGCCTCTCCTGTAACGTACATTAAATAAAACAAGGCGAATACTTGCCTTCTTTATTCGTTTCAAAGCCATGGCAAATCCTCCAGACGGGTTAAACGAAGCTGCGGTGTGAACTTTGACAGCTGTCAGCGACGACTACGCTCACTTTATGCCGACTCGGTGTTGTTTGTTTTGACAAACTGATTATTTCTTTTGTTTCCGCGTTTTTGTTCGACGAGGAAGAATGCACCGGTGCATTGTGGGAAACTGAGTTTACAGTCAAGGCACTTAAAGGGACCGTAAACCGAAATATAAAGACAGTTCATCCAAGCTGGAACTTTGTAGAGTAAATTGAGTAAATACAGTAAAAGTTTAGAATAAAAAAAAGTAGAAATAAAAGACGAAGCCATATTGTAGACTAATTAAAACAGTTGGGGAATATCTTTGTGTGTTGTATGTACATATATAAAGTTTTTAATTTTTAAATGATTATTTCAGACAGCAGTGCATGGTTGCCTTTCATAGATTTTTTCATTCATACTTTAATTCATATCTTTTCATCAATATACAGTGGTGTATTGGAGTACTGTATAATAAAATGACTGCCTTGGGCTATGGACGTGCAGTAAAAGATATACACACCTCAACACATATCAAGCTGTATTTTGAATGCAACTTTGTTACATATATTTCATATCATATTTATATCTTATCTTACTATATAATGACGAAAACTCTGCCTGTGTGTCTGTTCCACGTTTTTCTCCTCACTGACTTGGTCAATCCATGTGAAATTTGGCACAGTGGTAGAGGGTCATGGGAGGATGCGAATGAAGCAATATTACATCAATTGGCCAAAGGGGGGCGCTATAGCAACCGATTGAAATTGCACACTTTGATTGGACATATTGCATGCCCCGTGTGTTGTAGAGACATGAAACTTTGCACAGAGATGCCTCTCCTCATGAGGAACAAATTCTAAGAACCCATAACTTCTGGTTATATAGATTTTCCACCATTTTGAATTTTTTGAAAAACACTTAAAAACGATCTCTTCCTAGGAAGTTTGACCGATCTGCATGAAACTCAGTGAACATAATCTAGGGACCAATATCTAAAGTTCCCTCTTGGCAAAAGATGGAAAACTTACTAAAACTGAGCTTCTATAAGGCAATGAATATTGTGGAGGGCGTGGCTCATCACATAAAGGTGTATAACATCTCAAGGGTTTCACCGATCACCACGCAACTTTGTAGGCATATAACCACACATAATCTGAGGGGACCCCTCCATTATTGACCCCATCAAACAAAATGGGGGCGCTAGAGAGCTAATTTCTTATCTATGCCGAACCACCGTATCAATTTTACTAAACGTGGTAGATATGTAGAACAGGACGCCTCAAGGTGACTGGAGAAATTTAACTCTAATTGGCAACTGGGTGGCGCTATAACAACAGAAAAATGCTTAAAAATGGCTAAAATGCGACCGATCGCTGTGGCTCCCCCTGTGGCTGAATGTTGTTGCTTTTTTCTAATTTTTGGTATGACTAAGTCATGGTATGGTATGCTGTACTCAATGGGTATGGACTATATATATATATATATATATATATATATATAAACAGGTCATGTAAACTGGTAATGTTTTTAAATACATGTAAAAAATAAATAAATAAATAAAGCTTGAGGTGTGCTGAGGTGTGTATATCTTTCACTGCACATCTATAGCCCAAGGCAGTAATTTTAATATACATTAATATATATTTACATTTCAATATACAACTACTGTATATTGATGAAAAATATTAATTCAAAAAATCTATTTTATGAAAGGCAACCACGCACTGCTGTCTGAAATTATCTTTCTTTTTAAAAACACAAACTGCTGTCTGAAATAATCATTTAAAAAAGCAATCATAATCATAAATAAACAAAACAAATTGCCATTATTAATACCCCTGGTTCTAGTATTATGGTGTACTACAGTTTACCTGTGGTTTGTCCAAGTGAGCAGGCACAGTCAATGTCAAACACTGCACTGTCTCTCTATTTGATTACTTTAAACATATTAAAAAGTGTAAAACTAGAATGTAAAATGAGTTAATATTATATATATTATATAAAAATATTGAACATTTGTATAGTATACTGTATAGCTGTACTTGCTTATGATAAATATTATGCAGACTCCCCCCTCTATGGCTCCGGCCTTGCCATAGTCTATAACCCTGGCCTGAACTGGCTGAGTATGCACTTGTCTCCTGTATGGCCCTCTATTCATTGCATTCACAGCATTAGAGAAGTGTCACTCTGCTGAATGAGTTACTCCATCGTCACTCTTATGACTGATGTCTGACCTTTAAAGAACATATTTGAATTGGACAGACCCGACTATGCTGTAAGCTTCAGTAATTAGATGTTGATATCTTTGCACTCTAGTGATTAAAGCCATACAGTAAAATATTGAACAACTTGACCTAACATTGCTTTGAGTAAAAGGTTCTTGCTGGTGAATAATGAGCTGTAACTGGGCTGAAACAGCATTTAAAAATATGATGTAGTGGGTGCTAGAATGTGTTGAAACTGAATGTAACTAACAAAAATACACAAAATATTGATTTAAAAGAGAAATTTTCAGATAAAATACAGAGCAGTAATAAATGTCCCCAAATTTAATAAGGGAAATAAAAGTGCAGCCGAGAATATAATCAATCAAAGGGGCAGGAGAATAAGAAAGTCTTTAATTTAGATTTTAATGTGACTACAATTGTATTTAGGATCATCAGGATGCTGGTTCATTCTGTCTGCAGCATAGTTAATCCAACACGGTGTTTGGTTTTCACTTTAGGCACTTGTCGCTGACTGATTCCTAAAGATCTAAGGAACCTGCTCGGTTTATATTCTTCAAGCATATCAGAGATGTATTTTGGCCCTGAGCCATTAAGTGATTCATAAACTAACGCCAGCACTTTAAAACTTGTTCCATATCTTACAGGACGCTAGTGTAAAGATGTAAGAATGGTTCCTCTGGCTGCATCCTGAAAGGGTCTGCAGGGATGTGCTGGGTAAACCAAACAAGGGGCCGTTGCTAACGTCCACCCCGCTGAGATGAAGGCGTGAACGAGTTTCTTTAAATCTTTTATCAACATTGAACTTCTAATATTTTCTATTTGTAGGAGGATAAAAGAATGCAGTTGCTGCCTTGATGTGACCGCTGAAGCCCAAACATGATTTGATCATAACACCTACATTTCCTGCAGTTGTTTTTTTTCCAGCATTAGTCTGTCAGTCCATTTGTATGCATGAAGTGAGTTTCTAGTTTGCAGGATAATGGGATTTCACCTACAGGGGGCCTAAAAAAAGAGTTACATAAAGAACTGATGTCATAGTGATGGGCTCTGAACCACGATTGCATATGCCAACAACATAGCCTCTGCCTTATATACAACCTAACCCAACTGAAGACTAAAGCAGACAGCCATACCTCGTTTTCGTCTATCAAAGGCTGCACTAGTCTCCTTAAGCACAGCCTGACACTCCTCCTGACTCAGATGAAAGATCAGAGCAGTCTTAAGCAAGTCGAGCCAGAATGAAAGTCAAAAACTACACTGACATGTATGATGTTGTTAAACTGAGCTGAAGGAACTTTCTCAATCCTCTCCCAATAAAATTAAAATCTGAGATGGCTGTTTTTAGTATGGAAGCAGTATCTAGGTTGCACGTTTTTAAGGATGAATCAAATGACTTTGGAAAACTGCCTGATAGGAGTGACCCATTTGCAGCACATCCAGTTCTTTTAAAAAAAGCCACAGCACACAGACAGATGATTATCATAACAAACGATAAGAAAACAAGGAAAATAATGCAAAGCTAAGATGAAATATGGACGTCAGTTGACACAGTGTCCCCCGAGGCTGTAACATCTAATGCTGTTTGGCTTGATAACCATTTATCTTTACAAAGAACATCCATGATGGTTATACATTATTGTCATTCTGACATTGCAGCTTGCAGGGAAACTGAGTGGACTGGATGTTTTTGTCCATCTTGCAGAGAGCTTCGGTCCCAAGAGAGCAAAGGGGAAGACAGAAGACACATAAATATACAGGGAGATACAGTACATAGGGAGGAGGGTCACATCTGTCATCTTTCACGCCTGGACTGCTGCATACCTCAAAGCCACAGACTGCAACAAATTAAGATAGTTTCTTTTTTCTTTTTTTAATCTATTTATATCTGCATCATTGGATGCATTAAATCACAGAAACTCATATCTTCTAACATTTTCTTTCATCTGCAGTCAGTTCGGTGGTAAAGCGTGGTAAAGCTGTAAAATACAAGTGATGAATTTGAGTGAAATTAACAATTTCATGCAGGTGAAACATTAATTTTCAGCTCCTTTGCATGCCCACAACTGCTCCTCTTCATGAAATAAATGCTAATCTGGTTTCTTTGAGTATTGTAGCTCTCTGGCCTTGATGTTTGTTTACTGCCGTTTCATATTTAAAGCCAAAAACAAGCAAAACTTTCAACCTGATCTCTTAATTTTGCAAATAATTTCCCCTTTTGCTCTTCACCTCCGCACATTTCATCCGCGGGAGTTTTAATGAAAACAGTTGATCATTTTAAGTAATTGATTAAGCACAACAACTGTGGCTCAGTATTTATGCTAATCATCGGTAGCTGATTATTTTTGTTTGTTAAAACTGCAACCTTGTTAAGTATTTAAAAAAAGTGATGTCACAACACAAAGTGTCAATAAGCCTTATCATGCCTCATCAATAAGGCACATGTGAACTACAAAGTCATGCAGAGAACATGTCAGGTATATAAGGTGTTACTACTCTGTCTATGACGGTTGGCACATTATTGACTGTCATGACGCACCCGGATTGTGTCCATTGATACACCATTAGAGCAGTCTGACAGGGAGAAAGTGACATCACATTACATGTCGTTCACGTATAGTGGTCACTACAGTGGACAGCTATTTAAAAGACATTCTCTTGTATATGCATGAGATTAGATGCTGTAGTTGCATTTAAGGCCCAATCCCAATAAACCCCCTTGTCCACCACCCCTTAGCCCTTGACCCTACTCCTTGGCCCTCGAAATGAAGCAATGAGGGTAGGGGTTGAAATCTTTCCCTAGGAACTGGGACACCACTCACTATGTCACCGCGTCGGTTATGTTCACGCATACATAACTTTTTTAAACAGGAATCTACATTTCCTACCGGCATCTACAATGGAGTCTCCAGTTGAGTTCATCCTACCGATCGCGTTTGCTGTATTCATCGTGCTTCGTTTGATGAACGACAGACGACGAAATGATATGAACGACAAGGGACTTCTGCTAGCTAGCTAACCAGCTAACATTACGAGGCAGCATAGTTATACTAGCTGGCGTGTTATTGTATTGTGAGAAATCCGACAAATTTGCAGAACAGGACAGATGACAGAGGCCAGTAATGTTAGCTAGCTGACTAGCTTTTTGTCAACTCCAATCTGAATAGCAATAAAAAATTGTTATACCGTTGTCTACACAAATACACAGTTATTCAAAAACATTTTTACAAAAGTTCCATGTTTATTTGTGAAATTATACTTACATGTATGAACTCTTTTCCCTGTCTCTTGCTCGGTGATAGCCATGGCGACGTCTACCCCTTGCTGGCAAGTCAGCATCTGAAATCCCTTACTCCGAAGGGCTAGTTTCATACCCACTACCCCTTGTTATGCCCCCTACCCCTACACGCAAAAAGGAATTACGACACCCCTACCCCTCGCGGGAACGAGCAAATATAGGGGTAGGGCCAAGGGGTAGGGCTAAGGGGGGGCATTGGGACGGGCCCTAAGTCACTACAGTATAGAGTGTCATGCCATACACCGCCCCCTACTGTCCAGGTGTGGTCAGTGCAACACAACTCTCTCAAAACCAAGATGGCCGACGGAATGCAAGAAATGTTGTGCAGCTCAAGAAAATCTTGCCAATCCTTCTATAATAGGAGACCCTGGTGGGTACATAAAATCTGATAACATCAAGTAACATCAAAGTAGTGATAGAGTTGTTTAATTTTCCAAATATTGATTATATGTTGTGAGGAAATTTCAATTAATCATCTTAATCATTTCAGCTACAATTGTTACTGCAACTATGTTGTTCTTGAAAATACTTCATCTGCAGTGACTTTTTGGGGGCTGTAAATCAATTGATTTAAGGTAATATACAGTTTTTGTAACAGAAACAATATTTTGACAATATTTTTGCAGAAAATGTGCATTGGACAAATGACATAGTTCAACAGGAAGAAGTTGGTGGGGGGCTGAGAAGGGGAGAGCAAGGTTCAACGCTTTTGCATGGCATTTAACAGTATTAGAATTAAAAAAAATGAACACACAAGTTTGACATCATTAAAACATATTTTATAGTTTTACATGATATATATTTTTTGATTGGTTTATATACTTTTTAGTTTAAAACTTAAATGTGAAAATTCAATAAAGACATAATAAAAAATTAAATGCGTGCTGTCCACCTGAGTGGACATGTGATCAACTCCTTGAAAAATTCATGTTTAAAAAATTAACTTCATAATTTGTTTTCATGCCTTATGAGGAATACATACACTTAAGACAAAAAAATCTTGACTGAGGTCGTAATAATTCATGCATGAAAGGGTTAAGGACAGCAGTATAGGATCTTGCTCATATCAGTTTTTGTATCCCCTTACAAAAATAGCAATATGTAAATATAAAAGTCCTGCATTACAAATTCCCCTTAAAAGTTTGCAGCAAAATGTACTTAAAGTATAAAAGTATCACTGTGCAGGCAAGATGACCTCTGTCAGTGTTAGTTATATAATTGGATAAGAGCCTACTGATGCATTATCATGTCAGCAGCACTTTAATGTTGGAACAGGCTGCGATGGAGCTAATTTTATATGCTGCTGGGTGGTTTCATTTACTGCATAACTGCCTTGAATCATATGCTCTTTGTAGGTTAGAAGTTGCATTACATCCAAGACAGTGTCTTCCCCTCGTTCAGAAGAAACCTGAAAATAAAGCCAGTGCTATATCCTGTCCCTTCTTGACCTTTGAAGAAGATTGCAATTGCTTAAATATTGATACACTGCAAGTCTATTCTATCTTGACTTTCTTGTGCACACCACTGCGGTGCATAGCGGCACAATTTGAGCTGGTAAAATATCTGTATGTCTCCAAAACGGGTTGTAATTTATTCCTCACACGCGATTGGCCACGGATCGATGCGCGTTCCCGGCGCTCCGAGGAGGCGCGCCCGTGCTTCTGAGCATCGTTTGGAGAAGAGGAGAGGAGAGATAGAGACAGAGAGCTGTACCACACCAAGTGTCCGCCGAATGTTTGCCTCTTCCCGCTGCCAATGAACAATCCTCGCATTCCTATGTGTGCCAGTTGACATCCTGAACGCGAAGGACCAGGCTTCCACCTCTGCAAGGATTCAGGACTCCTATAAGCGGGTTGCGCGTTTTTTCAGGTAAGCCCCCCCCTCATCCTCCTCCTTCTCCTCCGGTGACCGATGTCGCTGTGTTGTCTCTGTATTTACGCGCTATTCGTGGACGACAACGGGCGCGGGCGTTTTGCGGTAGCTGTCCAAGGTGCTGAAACGGGCAGTGGCTTGTGGTAAGAAAAACACAGTGTAGTAGAGATGACGGCCTCATCTTAGGAGCAGGTTTCATGACTTCGCTGTTTGCATGCTATAGGCTATTTAGTGTGCAGACTAAACCTCCCAAGGATGTCGTGTGGGTGTCGTATGGTGAGCACAGGATGATAGAGCTGTAACGTGCATACGGTATCCGTTACATTTGCACAGTCTTGCACGTTTTGACTATGGCTGCTCTATCCGAATGGATGTAGTATCTAAGCTGCATTGTACCTCCTCCAGGGACGGTGTGTGCGTGTGTCTCTACCTCTCTCTCTCTCTCTGTTTTTTATACTGCATTTACTGTTGTCAGGGTCCGGGTCTTCACCTCACAGTATCTTGCTATTGCAATCTTAGGTTGCAAAGTAGGTGCCATGTAAGACTCCAGGATTGCAACTGAGTCCTCTGATGTCAACAAACAGTAGAAAAAATATTTATCACAGATTTCTGTGCACAAAGAATCAATCTGAGAAATGGTACCAATCTCTGCTTTTCAAGTTGAACTTGTGCCTCATTCACTGGGAATCCACATTGTACCAGTAACCATAGCTTGTGCAAATTCTACCCCCTTTCTTTAAAAAATGTCCTTGTCAAGACCTTGTGAAATGTGAACACGTGTAGCCAAATTGGAGCTCTGAAGATGTGTTTCATGAGGGAAATGTCAAATATGTTGAGAGGTGATCCAGGCCAAAAGTTATGTAAATTGTTCTCTTCTTGGCAAGGTGAGGGCAAGCCATGTTCAGGCTCTATTGTTCTTCTGATGGACCAAAATATCCATTCTGTCCGCAACAGGAGCACCTGACATTTCCTGTGGCAGATTTACTTACTGGATCATGGCACAGACCAACAGCGGTGGGCAGGGGACCAACGGGGTAGCGGATGAGTCCCCCAACATGATAGTGTACAGAAAGGTAAGGCAGCTGCTATTTTTAGTCTGCACGTGTGTGAGTGTGTGTGTTTGCGAGTGTGTGAGCGCGTCTCTCTTGCATTAATTTGCTTGACGATGAGCTGTGCGATGGAAATACTAATGGCAAGACAGTCGTTCTTGTGCCATGGTTGATTTAGGATCGTGATGCTACATCGACTTGATGAGAGCACGGAGAGAACATGCAATTTTTTTCTCTCACAACATGCATGACATGCAAGTAGATTCAGAGGATGCACACACAAACACACACATACACACACACACACACACACACAGAGGGTGAGACACCCTGGTATGCACACATTTTCCAGTTAAGTTAAACCATCAGCTTTTATTGCTAACATGTCGGAGGATGGATTTTTAACTGACTGACATTAATGGAACCAAAAGGAAGCCACAGGCTTTTTCACCATTGTTCATTACACTGCTAGTGGTGTATGTCTTCACTGTTAAATCTGCTCCTACATTAGAGAATTAGAGAAAGGGAGGGGAGTGAACTGGCCCACTGCTGAGACACCTTAATCCAGCACTGCTCCCAACATCAAACAGATTAATACAATAATAATCTGCGGGGAAGACAACATTTGTTTACTTGAAGGCTTGGGGTCTAATTATAGTTTCTTTTAGAGACTTGAGATATATATATATATATATATATATATACACACTGTATACAAGGCTGTGTGCACTGCTCCGCATGTGCACTTCTTTAAAGGTCCAGTGTCGAGAATTTAGGGGGATGTATTGGCAGACATGGAATATGATATAATAAGTAGGTTGTCTTTAGTGTATAATCACCTGAAAATAAGTATCATTGTGTCACGGTTACCTTAGAATGAGCCATTCAAATCTACACAGGGAGTGGGTCCTCATTCATAGGCTGTGTCTGATATCACTACTCACTTTATAGTCCACTATATAGTTTGCCATTTTGTAGTGCTGTCCAAATGTGTAGTGGGAATTATTATACCCTATATAGTGTAATAAACTGTCTATTTAATGTGTAGTCGTTGGTCCCTGAAGAGATAAAAATAAATTAGCAACTGTTCATCTTCAGTGCTTAACAGTTACTGTACAGAGTAGGGCTAATAACGCTAGCTAATGTTAGCGAGCTGGTTTGCTGCTAGTTCTATTTTGTGCAGTAATGTCATAATGTATAACATTATACATTAAATTCACAAGTTATTACATGACTGGCTGGCAAAACAAACTTCAACACAGCAAAAGTTAAACAGAAAATGACTTACGTTAGTAGGACAGGTTGCAGTCACACTTAATGTGAGCAGAGCAGAGCATCTTAACACAACACAAACTGCCACAAAGCACTTTGTAATGTTATTTATCGATTTGGGGAAAATACGCTAAGTGTAATTTCATGTTTACGCATGTTGGTCTGTGTTACGGATGGTTCACAAGCTGAGGTTGATATAACGTTTTAATTTTGCGTCAGCAATCACGTAATTATCGGCACCGAGAAAATAATCTGAGTAGTGTCCAGAAGTGTTCTTTCATGCTGCAGGTGAGTTCACTATATAGCGCTATAGAGTATAGAGTGGGTAGTAGTGAATGATTTCAGACACAGCCATAGAGTCTGCCATGATGCACTGCCATGTTTCTACAGTAGCCCAGAATGGCCAAACACTGGCTCTGGATAGGGCTATTTGCGTTTGTGCGTCGGCCAACATAGTTAGCTGCCACTCAGTGACAAGCAGCATCGGAAAAATACTTCTTTTTTTTAAATGTGAAATTATTCAATGTTTTTACCGGTTTAAATCACGGGCTCCATTTGTTTTGGAGAGGAAAATTGTTCTACGGATAATTCAGCTTCTGGTAAGAACCTCCTAAAATGCCATAATCTTTAGCAGATGCTGGGCTAACAGTCTGTCTGCGATGTGCTGAACAGCGTTGGAAAAACACTGATATGTAACTTAAAACTGCTTTACTAAGTGCTTTTACTGGTTTTAACCACCAGGGGTCTATAGACATTGCATATGCACAACACGAGGCCTGAAAGAAGCGTACGCCACTTCCCCTGCAAAAGTTGTAATGTATAAAAAGAGACTTGACGGGAGAAACTTTGACCCACGCTTATAACCATTTTGGAGACAGGAAACTGGCCTGATTGTAGATATTACTGAATATTTTTTAGGCACATTTTTGGCTTTTGTCCATATGTACATTTTTAGTATGGATCCTAAGCAGTGTTTTAAAAATGAGACCCCTGGTCTGTTTGTTTTGGAGAGGAACAGACCTCTGCAAATAATTTCTCTCCTGGCAATATCCTCCTGAACAGTAAACACTTGAAGGAATTCTAACCAGCTGGTTACAATCCTCACTGCTAAATGCCACTAAATCGTACACACTGGACCTTTAATATTAACCTATAAATAAACCGTTCTGAAAATTGCTTTTGCTACATCAGGGGAGGCTTCTGCTCCCTGGTGGTGCTGTTACTGTCTTATAGTGAGGGTATTTTCGTGATGCTGTGCCTATTACACTTCTTCCAATGCCTAATTCACTTTCCCAGGTATGATAATTCCATAATCAAGTGTGGCTGGATTCTAGCTTATGGTGTCCTGCAAATACATGAAACACCTACAGTATCACACCCCAGCCAACAACAGCTGTATGTGCGTGAACGTTGCCTGACGGACAGTGTAATGTTTTACTTTGCTCTCAGATGCACCAATGAAGTGATCATTTTCTCATCTTACTTGTGGATGACTCAAGCGTTGAGTGAATTTCTTCATTTCATTCTCTTCACCCTTCAGCGAATGCTCCCATTCCATCTGCGACAGCATCTGCACACCAGGAAGAGGATACGCTTAGCATGATATCATAGATTGACGGTCTTTTATAGCACTCACAGCGTGTTAGGCAATATTACTGCCAGTGTGGGACAAGATTTGCTGGAAGTGGCGCTATGCTCGTCGCAGGAAGGTTTCAGAAAGGTTGCCTTTTATTTTTCAAGTCGCAATTTTCAGGATCTTCCTGATGCAGGATGACTGGCTCAGATTGTTCATAAAGTAGGCCAAATATCAAGGATAATGAAGATAGATGAATGTGACTGGCTTTGTCATTCTTTGTAATTTTAATTTGTGGAGACAGAGGAGGAAATTATACCTCTTATTAAATTTCATTTTAATATGAAACAGTATCAGAACATGCTAAGGCAGGAAAACTAGTTGCATCCTGTATATTAAATATTGATTAGAAGTCTTCCTACAGATTCAATTACATGTGATTCCTCTTTCTTTTTCCTGTTATTGATCTGAAAGTCCTGCTTTTTCCATCAAGCCATGAAGGATCTGTACAACCAAGTATGCTAATAAGAAAAACATTCATACCCCGTGTGTTTACTTTGCAGCTCTCACTTAAAGCAACCAGCCTTAAATGTGCGTTTTTCATTTCTTCCAAATAAGTAGCCAAAAAAAGGATCTTAGACTTAAGGTGCTGTTTGTTCTCAGATGTTTGGTCAGATTAATAAGTTAGTGATGAAGCTTTCTTGCATCATCCAATTCCTCACTTCTCAACATTTGACCACACATGGCCGCAGCTTGGCTGTGTACACTGACTGACCTAGATATACTGAAGAATGAAAGAACATGGTGAAGGCAGCAAGGATGAAATTGTGTTTCTGGAGTGGGTTTTAATTCAGAACTGCCATTGGGAGAGCGCTGTCTGTTAGACGTGTGGTTACCGCCAGGATGAACAGGTGCCCCAAATGCTTTTAAGATGGAGATGACTTGGCAGAGGTGTTGCAACCCACATTGACTGGGCAGCACTAAGATGAGTTTTCAAGTGGAAAAACATGCATTTATATTCTGTTTTGCTGCTCAGACATCTTTTGCAGGAATAGCATGAGTACACAGTAGAAACTCTGTGCGAAATGTTGATGTGAAGCAACTGGCCGCATCTATTTGATAGTTGCTAGTGGTGTATCGTAGTGGAGGGATTATGTAATATGAGCAGAGGGAGCTTTATGGTTGAGGACAGCAGATAGTGGTTTGATAGTCTTTCCACAGGGAGCATAACTACATCCTTTCACTCTCTCAATCTTTCCCTCTCTCCACCACCCCTCCACTCCTGTCATTAACGTCTTAATGAAAATGGATGGGTGAGCTGAGGTGTTGACCCGCTTGCTGCGGAGATGTGCGCACAGATGTCTGTTTCCCTCAAGGACGCATGCACCACAGCACGTTTCGCGAATGCCCATATAGATATATCGGAAATGTAAATGCATGAGTACACACACAGCATTTAAACTGTGGCATTCACAGAAACAGATGCACACAGACACACACAGCTGGCTTCCTGACGAACTAATTCATCGACTACAGTCGTCGCTGACCCTGCTAACGAGTTATACGTCAGAGCTCCTTGTGTTTATCAAGAAAAGCCAATAAAATGTTCAGTGGATATGCACAGCATGTCTGAGGGTCCAGATCATTACTTACCATATAAAAGCTTTTGTGATGTCTTGCTGCTCTCACATTAAACATGTCAGACCTACTGTATGTCATCAAGTGTACAGTATGTGTGAGTGTTTTTTTTTTCATGCCTGCTCACATGTGTGCACCATGAATAATGCTGTGATGCATGTGCAAGCATGTGTGTATGCTGTATGTAGGGCGAATGTTGCTAAGAGAGAGTCGTGAATTTTTTATGCGAGCCTAAAACAGCTCTGGCGAAGTTCATAGCCACTCAGCACGAGGAGGGAACATCTTCTCTCACCAGCCAGCACTTTGTGTGAGTTTATGTCTCTATGTGTGTGTGTGTGTGTGTGTGTGTGTGTGTGTGTGTACTGATTGTAATTGAGTGGTGAAATGATTCAATTTAACAGTATCAATAGATATATAAAATACTGATGCTTTTTTACACATTCAGTTCATCCCCAGACAGTAAAAATCTACAGTACACACCAGCCTCATACAACTTTATTTAGTCTGTGAAAAAATCTCAAGATCAGCACAAAGGCTAAAG